TTGCAAGCAATAGGCATTCCCAGCAGTACAATTTGCAGCATTTCTCAGAGGCTGTGAGCCACAGGTACCGTTCATAATTGCTCGTCTGAAAATGACGGACAAATCCTTTTCCTTGCTGGGACAGGCTAGCTAGCGCAGGAGTTGGGCGACCTCTTCGCACAATATCCAGCTTTTCGTGGAAGGCCTGTCTTGAAAATTGTGTGGAAAGTAGTTCTGCAACCAGATAAACGTCTTCTCCTTCGGCCATTTTGGGTTAAAATGCAGTAATAGCTCTAGCAGGCGCTAATCCAATCTTTTCTTTTTTTTTTTTTTTTTTTTAAAGAATCTTTATTGAACAAGTCAGTATACAATTCTCAGTAAATAGAAAAGGCGCTAAATGACCGAACGCGCACGGCCAGTCTCGACGTAAGGCCTTCTAGCTGGCCCTAGTACGCGGACTCTTGGCTATTGCAACCTGACTGTGCCCATTCACTTACAGCGCACAGGGGCCTGCTCTGTTTAATCTGAAGGCCCCGAACAAGTTTAATTTACCTGGCAACACAAGCTAGCTGAAATATGATTGGTTAAAAACTCTACCATAATAAATAAGTTATTTATCGAGTGACTTTCAATGTTATTTAAAATAACATCGAAAGCCACTCGACGAAGTGGAAATAATATGACGTAAAGAATACAGAGAATAATTTTGTTTACATATTTATGAAAATAAAATAATTTAAATTTATGTTATTCTCAGAAAAGTAAATGTATTAAATTTACTTTTCTAAAAATGTTTAGGCCAGCAGAGAAGGCCTTACTGGCCCTGACGGAACGCCACTGATGATGATAGATTAAGCAATCTTGGTGTACTTTGCATTGAGTCGAGGTCAAAAGCACTGAATCTTGAATCACTTCGGACGGTTTGCCAGAAATCACCAAAATCGCAGAATACAGTTGCTGTAATCGTAGGGGCAGCTTAAGACTGTTCCACAAGATCTGCACCTATATGAATCTTTTTTTAGCCCTTAATTCAGTACTACTGTGATTGTTATGCTGTTTTTCATCGTCACTGTAATGTTATGTCTGCAAAGGTTTAAAAGTTTGATGAAAATAAAAAGTCAAATAAGATTTAGAATCTTTGTCATTTTTGCCCTGGGTTGAATGTGCCCCTCTATCAAAACGCCCTGGTCCCAACCAGGCCCCCTCAGTGAAATTGATCTAGAACCGCCACTGGCATCATGTTGTCAAAGCCATAATAATGAATTGAAAGCGAAACCCATCAGGACAAAATTTGCTGTAAAATGAAAACTTAACCTCTGTCAATTATGATTAATGATACTGAGATAATATACTGTGAATGGTTGATCCAAACAGTGAAATGCATTCTTTGACAGGCACTCATTACTCCATACAGAGATCCTAGTATAAAACATGCACCAATAACAGCATTTACAGCAAAAAACAAAAACAAAAACAAAAAAAACAGAATATATCAGTGAAGCCCATCTCCCACTTAGTGGCAAATGTTTGAGAGTGTTTGCGAGGGTAGCAGATCTAGATTTTTCTTAAGGGTTTGTTCAAGGTCCCAAAGACATTTGCTGGAGGTTGGCCAACAGTTTTAATAGTCGCTGCCAGTTTTTCTTGTCGCAAGGAAATTTTGAACATGTTCAACATGTTTGCGACCCTGAACAAACCCTGATGAGAAATCAAACATTCACGACCTTCACAAACACGAACAACATAAGGCAGCTGCCCTCTGGCTTCAGCCATGAGAGACCAATTGTTAGTCCATTAGAAAATCAGTCTCCGCCTCGACTTCTGCCTTCCCCACTCAACCAAGGCTCCCTCTTCCTGACTTAGCGCCAGCCCCCTCAGCTTGTCTCTTCCGATCACAAGTTGGAACTGAACCTATACAGTGGTACCCATGGGCGTCATTAGGCCTATTTTAGGGAGGCTTCAGCCTCCCTAAAAATGTCTTTAGCCCCCCTAAATAATTTCATTGCATTATTTAAAAAAAAGTATTATTTATTTTTCCTGTACTTTTGCTAATATATTGCATCAAATTCAATGTAATGTGGCCATTTTAAATTATATTTCGAC